AATAAAGTTTTCAAATTTTTTGTGAGTGACTATCAGAGAGTCTTACCTGCTCCAGCTGGGTGGCAAATGCGATGGTCACTGACATAATGAAGGAATCGGTACAACACTCTGCTGGTCCAATCTGATGGTAGCCTCCCTCTTCATTCAGCACTGCCACAATGTCCTTGGGGTCGAGTCCAGACAGGTTGGCAGCTACTTTACAGAGAAAAACGTAATTATAATACTTTGTAGTTTGTCATAAACCATTATAAGATTTTAAAAGCTGATTATATTTTTTAATTTGCTTGGCAATTTTCATGGTACAGTTAATATTTCAATAAGGTTTGCTTTAATCTGTTATAAACTCTCCAAAGAAACCTTATTTAACCACTATTTTCTTTCTGTACATAAAAGCCATATTCTGAAATAAGCTAACATTTAAAAACTCTAATAATTAAACTACTTAGAAAAGGCATCTAACACAGGTTTCCCTAGTGAATTTAAACTGGGAAGCGCAGAAGCAGCTAGATTTGGCTAAGAAGAAGAGAGTAAACACAGAATGGGGAGTGAAAAAAACAGTGTTCTAGACAGAAGGAACAATATGTTCAAAGACACAGAGCAAGAGAAAGCATGTGGCTAGAGAACTGAAATAGGTGTGGTATGCTGGATGATAGCGTGAGTACCGACATATAGAAAGAGGTGAGGCTAGAGAGGAAAGCAGAGGCCATATCACAAAGGGTTTTCTTGAATGCTCTGTGGAAACATTTGGATAGTTTTCTAAGAATAAGAGAAAATCACGAAACAATTTTGAGAAGAAAACTGATATAATCAAATAGGCTTCAGTACGAGAGACTGGAGAGGGACAAGGGTTTTTCAAATTGATTTAAAAAACAGCCACACACAACCACCATACTAGATAATCTCAATGTTGGTAGGTAGACACTAGAGTACAACCTATTGGAGGGTTATGTATCAGGGGTTATCAAAATTTTATTAATATATAAACATACCCTATAAAAAAAAGCAATTCCTCTTCTAGGAGTTAATCCTAAGGAGATGTGCTTACTATAGCACTGGCTGAAAATAGTATAATGAAGAAGAGCATAGATATTTGAGTCACACAGACCAAGGTTCCAATTCCAGTTCTGTCATTGTATAAGGAAACTATATGATCTCATTTAGTCTCCTTTTCTTCTACAAAGCCTTTATATAGTTGTTAAAAGATCAAATTAAATAACGAAAAAAAGCACTTAGCATAGTATCCAACACATTAAGCACTTCAATAAAGGTAGCCATTCTACAATAAGGCCAGCAAAGCTTAGAAATTAAAATAATAACCATGATAGGTTTCTCACTGTCAAGGAAGGGAGTTACAAATATGGCAAGGGAGAAAATTAGAATAAATCTTGCGGTACAGGATTGGAATTGAAGGTGTCAATGTGAATTCATGTTGTTCAATATATATGAATAAATATAGATGAAAAGGTACATGTGTGCCACAGTTTCCATGTGTCCCCTCCAAAACTCAAGTATTAAAACTTAATGGCCAATGAGCTGGTATTAAGAGGTGGGGCCTTTAAGAGGTGTAAAGGTCATGAGGGCTTCTTCCTCGTGAACGGGATTAGGTGCCCTCATAAAAGGGCTTGAAGGAGGAAGTTCCTCTCTTGCCCTTCAGCCTTCCACCATGTGAGGATGTAGCAAGAAGGCCCTCACCAGATACCAGTGCCTTGATCTTGGACTACCCAGACTCCAGAACTGTGAGAAATAAATTTCAATCCTTTATAAATGACCCAGTCTGTGGTATTCTGTTACAGCAACACAAAATGGCCTAAGACAATATGCATATGTACAAATGTGTGTTTCTATATACGTGTGTATGCATATATATGTTCACAAGTTCCCTAACTTTATCTATTGAGAGGGTCTGGGAGCAGTGACACCCCAACAGCAACTGGCATACCTAGTACCTACATCTTGCCTTCTAAACATCATTCTTTACTAAAAGGAGGCAAGGCTCTTTAGAGAAATGGTTGAATCCAGGGCTGAGACAGGGAAAACACAAGATAAGCCAGGAACATCTTTCTGTGCCGGAAAATAATAAAAGGTGAAAGAATTATGTAGACAGTAAGAAGGAAACAGATGTAGCTTGAACGGGCTGCCCAAAACTGGAACAAATAGATAAGAATAGTTAAACATTGTAAAACACTAAATAAAAAGAGAAAACTATAAATCCGTACTGATATAAATAAATGAATAAATTGAAGGTTTAACAAGGAATGGTATCTTTTCATAATTCCACAATTCTGCCCACCAAAGATTTATTAATTACAAAGGAAAAAAAGAGTAAGTTTACAGTTGAGAACACTGATACACACCCCCCTAATCCAGGTGAACATTATTAAGAATGGGACAAATAAACACTGTGCGCCACTGACAGGACGCAGTGAGTACGCGGCATCACTTCTGTGATATTTCCACCAAAGATGCATGACCTAAATCTAAAATCAGACAAACCCAAGTCAAGGGACACTCTAAAAGATAACTGGCCTATAATCTTCAAAATTTCAAGGTCGTGGAAAGATCAAAGAACTATTTCAGACTGGAGTAGAATATACAGACATGGCAATGAAATTCAACACCTGATTCTAAACTAAATCCTTCTTCTATAAAGGAAATTGTTGGGAAAACTGGTAAAATCTGAATGGAATTAGATGGTAGTAATGTATCAATGTTTCATTAATGTAATAAGGTTACATGTGTTAATATACCAATGTTACTTTCTCAATTTTTATGAATATATCAGGGTTATGTAGGAGAATGTCCTAATAAACACTCAAATATTCAGGTGCACTAAATAGCAAATTCCTCCCCGATGGTTCAGGGAAAAACATTCTTCTTTAAAACATATTTCCAACTTCTTTGTAAGTTTGAGATTGTTTCACAATAGAAAAAAAATTCTAAGAAACTTTTTTTAACCGGGAAAAAAATACTAAATGCTCTAGAATCTGACTTCAGGGTTCTTATCCCAGCTTCACTACTTACAACTTACGGCATTTTAGCAAAACACACCTCCAAAATTCATTTTTCCCATCTCTTGAGTTTATGGTGCCTATAAGCTCTTCAAATGGGTATGTCCAGGAGGCAGGTGATTATTTGGGTCTGAAGGCCTGGGTGGGGGTCTTCAGCATAGAAAGAGTACAACTGATGCCTGGGGAATTGATAAGATCACATAGGAAGAGTATGTAAACACTGAGAATTCTTTAATATATAAAGGTTGGGAAGAAGAAGAAAAGCCTAAAGGAGGTTAAGAAGAACTGGTGGGAGAAGCTGAAGAAAAAGTAACTGTTGTTAAAATATTGAACTATATTTTCTATCATCTCAATCCAAAAGGCAATTCCCAACTCACAAACTTTTGGGACAAGACAACTATTCATAAATTCACTGCTCTGAACTAAGAATATATGTGCCCATACAAGCAGTATTTCTTACATTAATCTCACATATAAGTCTAGGACATTCTGTACAACATGACTGAAGCAGAGTACCAATTGTACAATTTCAATTTCACTATTTGCTTCTCTCCTTTCCAGAAGAAACTTATCTTCATGCTCCATAGATCAGAAAGGTTACAAAACAGGTATAATCACAAAATATTAGAGGAAAGGGCTTTAAAGGTCGTCTCATCTAATTCCATCATTTTACCTAAGAGAAAATTGAGACTGAAAAACATTTAAAAAGAAATATGGGGTCCAGAATGTAAGGCAGCTTAGAAGTCTTCCCTCCACCCTAACAACCAATAAAAAGCTGAACAAACTGAAACATTAACAATTCTTCATATATCCATGAGAGAAGTGTGGTTTCAAGAAAACTGCTGTCCCCTCAAACAGGAGAGACAGGCAGGTACGAAGAATCACAATTTATTGGAGCAGAAACCTCCCCGGGAACCAAGGCGGGAGTAGGAAACCTGAACCCTAACTGATGAATTGCCAATGGCTCAGGGTGAACCAGCCTGAGAGCTAAAATATTCCAGGGGGACCCAGTCACAAGGGGGCGCCCAACTTTTCTGAGTTTTACCTCTAGGAGCTCTATAGGTCCTCACAGTGAATATAAGAAAAAACCTCTTCGTGCTTCCGGCAGGGGGAAGGGAAAAGCAACCATTTTGAAATACACCAGAGAATTCTGTTCTTGTTAACATGCCTGCCCTCAGGAGAAACTATTCAATCAGAGACTAACCTGCTGTGGTTATATCAGAACCTAACTTATCTGAGGGAAGGGAAACATCCAACTCTAGTTCCCTCTAGTCTCCTCTAGACATCTAGTCCCACTGAAGGGGGCTGGCAGGGACTGAGAAGCAATGATGAAGTTTAAACCCCAGAGGCACAGACTCAGTAAAAGCCTGAAATCTCACCACAGAACCATAGACCGCTTCTCCTCCCTCACATATGACAACTACATTACTAAAGGCCTATTTACAGCAGTTCCGTCTACCCCATATATCATGTTCAACTTCCAACAAAAATTTATAGGACAAACCAAAAGGCAGAAAACACAGTTTGAAGAGACTAAACAAGCATCAGAACTAGAGTCAGATATAGCAGGAACATTGGAACAATCAAACCAGAATTTTTCTAAAACAATATAATATGCTCAGGCTTTAATGAAAAAAGCAGGCTGGGTGTGGTGGTTCATGCCTATAATCCCGGCACTTTGGGAGGCAGAGGCAAGAGGATTGTTTGAGCCCAGGAGTCTATAACCAGCCTTGGCAACATAGCAAGACCCTATCTTTATGAAAGAAAAATGTAAAAAAATTAGCAGGGTATAGTGGTCCTAGCTACTCGGGAGGCTGAAGCAGGCAGCTCACTTAAGCCCGGGAGTCTGAAGTTGCAGTGAGCTCCTATGATGCCACTACACTCTAGCCCGGGTGACAGAGTGAGACATTGTCTTGAAAAAAAAAAAAAGTAGACAACATGCAAGAACAGAGGGATAATGTAAGCAGAGAGATGGAAATTATAAGAAAGAATCAAAAAGTAATGCTAGAGATCAAAAATACTGTAACAGAATGGAAGAATGCCTTTGATAGGTTCATTAGCAAACTGGACATGGCGAAGGAAATAATCTCTGAGTTTGAGGCAAAAGGTATAACATACATATAATGGGAATACCAGAAGGAGAAGGAAGAGAGAAAGGAACAGAAGAAACATTAGAAGAAGTTATTA